ATTATTACTGTATTAATTAAATCTGTAAAAATCTGATCTTCAAACCTTCAAATCTGTAAAAATTCAGATTAACTTCGTTAGGATTTTTCCAGGATGCTGTCTTAGTCCTTTTGAACTTTGGTTTGGTTTTGGGTTTCTCAAATTGAGGAAGCATCCAGAACTGTTTGCAGAAAGCCCCGAAAATTTTTTTGGAGACCCACTGACTCCAAGTACACGGAAACTGTACGAAGCAAAAACTGCAACAGGAGGCGATTGCACAAAGAAAGCACGTCTCCTCAGAAGCTTTAGACTGCCGGTACAATTTATATATTGAAGTAGTTTTTTCAAATGTTTGATTGATCTACATGATCAAAAATTATAAAACATTCTAGAATTCGAATCTTTTATAGTTTGAAGACAATTTATCAAAAGTTGACGCTCGATAATAGTAGATCTCTCGGTTGAGTAAATTCCGTACAATTATTCGACTGACCAGTGCAAATGTAAATAGTGCTTGATGGACTTGACTGTTCAAGAGAGCAATAATTTTCTTCTAATGTCCGACCTTGTTCAGTTCATTCCGAACTTGTATTTTAGCGCTCAAGCTGGAAGTCGCAAGGTTGCAGAGATTTTTCAAGAGATGTATCATAACACGCAGATTTATTAGGCCGAAAGGTAACTCTTCTGCTTTGGTGATCCGGCAACAGCACATTTGTAGGTTTCATGCACCCACGTAGGCTTTTCTTTGCTAAAGCGGATATTTCCAACTGCTTTGCAGCTGTAGACAGAGTCATTTTAGAAAGGGCACTGCGAAAACTTGCGGGCACTCGGTAAACAATCCAATGATTTTTTTATGGTTGTGGAAGTCTATGCTAATTGCAGCAAAATGTTTATTGCATTTGGATTTTGTGGGAGCGCTGACCGTAAAAAAGTTTGCGTTGCCAAAGCTGCACCAACTTCTGAGGCGGCGATGAATTTGATGTATCGAGCGGTGACGAGAAAAGGTTTGCAAGCTTCATCACAGAATCAGGTGACTATCAAGGTAAAGCACATTATCTGTAAGCTTTTATGAAGTTTGAAGAATAAGATTTTCAGATGCGCAGAGGCATGGAGGTGGTAGATACTATAATGGGGCTGTTGAGCGACATCAGGGTAGTTGATGATTAGTTAGCTAATTAGTTTCATATTTTCAACTTAACATTTTTCTGTAACGCTGTTTCTCTGAATTAAAGTCTGTTTAGTTAAAGCTAGACAGTACCGATTCGATCTACACAATGAAAAAAGGCGTTCCGCAAGGATTTGAACTGTCGTGCCGTCTAGCTCACGTAATTCTCATTAGTTTTCCATCTTCATGGCTTTTTTATCCAAATTTTCTAGATCTACTTGCTGTATTTTGAGCATATGGTATGGAACAGGATGTCTTGCAACACTTGTCTGCTTCGCTACGTTGATGACTACCTGGTTTGCTCATATTCGAAAAGAGGAGTGTTGGAAGTAAACAGTATCCAGAAAAATTTGCGTTCAGCTCCATTGCTTTAGGTCTTACAGAAACTGCAAACTCAAAATGATTTTGGAGTTTCGGCGAGGATGAACAAATGCCAGGTATATTTTTGTACATACCATATTTGGAGACAGCGCAATGAAAAGGCTTGGAAGAAGCAAAAAAATGGCTCAAAAATATGCCCAGACGTGGCCTTCAAGCACGTAGTAAATTTGTGCGTATTGTCTTTCTTATCCAGTCATTTAGGCTTCCTTCACGATATCAAACGTATTGAAGAGTGGACGGTTCATAAATTGGTGCGGATATGTTGTTGATACAAAGAAATTGAAGGTGAATTTTGTATCAAATCTTTAGCATACCCTTTCTACTTACAAGGGAAGGATACTAACTTAGATTCGCCTTTCA